CTCACCAGAGCAGAGTAGAGGGGCAGAATCACCTCCCTCGACCTCCTGGCCACACTTCTCCTGATGCAGCCCAGGAGACAGTTGGCCTTCTGGGCTGCCAGCGCACATTGCAGGCTCATGTCCAGCTTTTCATCCACCAGTACCCCTAAGTCCCTCTCGGCAGGGCTGCTCTCAATCCTTTCATCCCCCAGCCTGTGTTGATCCTGGGGGTTGCCCCAACCCAGGTGCTTGACCTTGCACTTGGCCTTGTTGAACCTCATGAAGTTCACACAGGCCCACCTCTCCAACTTGTCCAGGTCTCTTTGGATGACATCCCATCCTTCTGGCATGTCAAGTGCACCACTCAGCTTGGTGTCATCTCCAAACTTGCTGAGGGTCCACTCAATCTTGCTGTCTTTGTCATTGATTAATATATTAAACAGAACTGGTCCCAGTATGGACCCCTGAGGGACACCACTTGTCACTGGTCTCCATCTGGACATGGAGCTGTTGACCGCTACCCTCTGGATGTGGCCATCCAACCAATTTCTTATCCACCAAACAGTCCTTCTGGAGATGGAGTCTGTTTTGCATGACCAAACCTGACTAAATGTCTTCTGCTTGAATTTCTGGGATCAAAATAGAATTATTTAGCTCATGCAGTGTTTCCACTCCTGCAGTTTCTGAGACCTATCTCAGGACTGAGGGCATCCTTCATGGCAGCAGGGAACACAACTCACATTGCACCTGAGCTAAATGCCAACCAGGATAGCTCCAGGACAGCCGCAAGGGTCATCACATCAACATAGCACAATAATCACATATAACCCAGGTAATTATTTTAGATGCAGAACCCCTCTAGCATGGCCACGCTTCCTTCAAGACCTGAGCTGCCTGAATCATGCAGGTGTGTTCACCTACCAATAGCTTGAGGCTTTCCAACAACATGCTGATGCGGCACTTTGGACACGCGCACAGCTGCTTTCTCCTGAATGGATTCCAATTTTCTTAGTCCCCATCAGGGATGGCTCTCCAGCGTTGAGTCCTGGTGGGATGTCACACCTTGTGCTCCCTCACACAGAACGTCTCACACAGCAGAAGGAGGAGGCTGCACCAACGCTGCCTGTGATGAACGGTTCCTGGCCCAGGCTAACCTTTGGGTCATGCAAGGGAATCGTCTGGGAGATTGCAAACAGTCACAGGCCAGAACTGTACTGGGGAGTGTGCTACTGGCCTTATGGTACGGATGGTTACACATCAGCTCCTCTGCTCTGGGCCTGGCAATGTTGCAATTCTAGTAGAGATGTAGCCATAGTTAACGTAGTTTTGAAGGAATTGAACCTGGGCTAAATAATTTTGACTGTGAGCAGGACTTATTATTCCAGTATTGGAGCTGGATCATGCAGCTTTCTGTCAGTTCAGAACAAGCTCAACTGTGCTTGCAAAATAACGTGCAATTGCATCATAACCCAGAGCATTATATAATCAGATCCTCATGCTATAGGAAACAACGTGTTCCAGAAGTTCCTGGAGTTTGTGCAGTAGTGGAACAAAAGTGCAATGCTTTGTTTGTAAATCACAGAATTTTTCATAATGTACATTTAGGCATTTAGGCTAACTGAACCAAGAAAATGCTGCTGATGATCAAAATCTCTCTGATGTCCATAGGTGTGTTTCTACAGGCTAAGTCCACCTGTAAACCATATTCCAGATTATTAGTGATTCATGACACTTAACATGGACATGCCAAGGGGTAATGGTTTTAAACTAAACCAGGGTAGGTTTAGACTAGATATAAGGAAGAAGTTCTTTACAATGAGGGTGGTGAAACACTGGAACAGGTTGCCCAGGGAGGCAGTGGAGGCCCCATCCCTGGAAACATTCAAGGCCAGGTTGGACGGGGCTCTGAGCAGCCTGATCTAGTTAGCGGTGTCCCTGCTCCTGCAGGGGGGTTGGACTAGATGACCTCTAGGGGTCCCTTCCAACCCAAAGCATTCTATGATTCTATGCAATTGCAACATTTAATTAGATGCTCTACTCAAATGGTTTTGTGTTAGAAGACCATAACTGTATCTTGCCTGTCTTCTCCTTTGACCTGTTTCATAGGTTTATCTACAGTCCTTGCCGTGGTCCCAAATACTTTCTCCCACTGCAATTAGTCAGACACCTCCTTCCACTACAGTCTGTAGCTGAAAATGCTCCTGCCTGGCATCCTGGAGGTCCAGTCCTTCCAAGACTGTAAGCCTGACAGAAAACAACTACCATGATATGCAGGAATATGTCATCCCATGACCTGAGCAGTAGATATGGCAGCACTGAAGAATGTGCAAGAAGAAAGTTTGGTCCCAATGTGATAGTAAGGTTAAGTTACCTGCCCGAGCCCTTCTGTGAGAATTGTTCAGCTTGGTTGCCTTTCCGTCTCCCCTCCTTTGTCTTTCTGACTGACATTTCATTGAAAATATTAAAAATATACACTGTTGTATTGGGTGTCAGTGCCAAGGTTTTGGCAGTGGTGGGGCTGCAGGGGCAGCCTCTGTGAGGAGAGGTCAGGGCTGCCCAGTGCCAGAGACAGCAAGTTCCTGCTGCCGCTACAACCGACCTGGCATATACCCAGCTGACAACGACCCACAGACTCTGTGTTCACAGGTGTGCACCACCATCTTCAGATTACTCTCAAGGAGTGGAAAAAAGTAAAATGGTAAAGTCTGCAGTGAAACTGGGGATTGACCAGAAACAAAAGTGGCAACACGTTTCTCTATTTCTCATTCTAAAAGGCATGGAAGGTCTCCTCAGCTGAGCTCAACAGTCAAAAAGCCAAAGACTGCTCTGGCTTGGCACATTAGCATTGCAATGTGGTATCCAAGTTCTTTAGCCACATAAGCCATCTGTTCTTTCCCTTTCTGTCCCTACCTGCAGCAGGGGAAATCTTTTTCCCCTTTCTGTCCTGCGGCTAAGAGAGAACTGCAGCATAGGAAAGACTTGCAGAAATAATACAGGTGGCATCCACTTCCCTCTCGCGCTCTTTTCCACCCTCTGGAAGGATCAGGCCCCAGAGCTTACTGTGTCTTTTTTTCTTTGGTGAGCTCCTCAGGGTGTGCCATAGACCACACTGAACGTGCTCTGCTTATACCACCACGCGGAAGCCGTTGCAGTCCTAGACTGAGTGCTGCACCAGCATCATGGGAAACAGCAGTTCATTAGCTGTACCCTAAAACCCACAAGATCACATTCCTGCAACTGTGCCATTAAAGAAGTATTTCTGACCACTTGCAGAGACATCTTACGATGTTTTTAGAACCTGAAAAGAACATTTCATGAAGATATGAAGAGAACTTTCCAGTGCCACCAGTCAGGAAACAGTCTAAGCACCAACACAGAATGAGCACCGGCAATTTTAGAAGACTGAATCATTGCATTTCAAAGTGTAATAACCAAAGTGTAACTATTAAATCAAACTCGCACCAATGTTTTAAAAACAAGTCCTTGCCACCCCAGCGTACTACTTTTGCAAGTATTTATTAGGAAATTCTGAACACTCAACTAGTATTTTTATCTCCAAAAAGTGATGTAAATCAGGGTTCCCCTGTTCCCATTTAACATGTCACAATGACTTCAGATCAAACTTGCTTCAGTTCATAAGCAAAATGATTTCTGTAACTAACATCTTAGCACATACTCAACCCAGGCTGTAGAAAGCCACCTCTGTGTAGTCAGTGCCACAATCCCCAGCAGAAGCTGCAATCTAATTAGCAGTTCTGAACAAGCTAGATTGAAATCCTGCCCACTCCGACCATTCAAAATAAAAAACTCCTCATCTTTGTGATTGCAAAAATACCTAGGGAATTGCCAAGAGACTGCAAAATAGCCCTAGCTCAGCTACAGATAGACTAAAATGAAGATGTTTTCTTCAGTAGTGGTATCCAGTGCTTTGCTGAATCAGGGCCTTAAAGATGACTGAGGCCATATCTAACAGTTTCAGAATTTCAGTTCACAGGCCTTAAACTTAAGTTCTGGCTTTGGATGAGGGATATGGGACTTTCAGCCTTATAACATTGCTTTGAGGTATTTTGCACTGAAAGGTGAAATTTTAGAGCCTGCTGTGCTTTCCTGTTCTCGTTGGACACATCTCTGAAAGGAAAAGCTTTATGCACATGATGTGGTTTGCAATGAGTGTGAATACCAGTGTAGCTTTTTTTATGTCTGAGTAACATAACCTCAGCAGTATTTGTTAAAAAATCAATTATAAAAGACACTGCAACTTCAAATCCACGTTTTTAATGTAAGATACCATATATCCAAAGTATTTCACAAAGATTTTATCAAAATCCACTACAAAAATTGTCATGGATGAATGTTTTGCTGCTAAAACTTTTAAAAGGAGAAAAAGTTACGAGTGGACCATATGCTATTCTGGAAGCAAATCCTCTCCTAGTTCTTCATCAGCAAAGTCATCTTCCTCAGGTCTTTTTCTTGCTGCAGTTTTTGGTCTTTCTGCTTGTGGGCCAAGTGGATCTATGTAGGAGGCATCTAGAGTTTAAATAAATACATTTGAAACAGTTACTCGCAAGTCATTTTAGCTTTGTTTCAAACATATACAATCAAACACAAGAGTGGGCTTTAGCATTACACATCTGTAAGGTGTCTTTGAAATGCAGACCAGAAAGAGCGTAAGAACACTGAAGAACAAGATACTACACTCGGGAAGTCAGGCATGGCCCAAGAGCACAGTACCGGAGTGCTAGTGATAGAAGCTTTTTTTTTTTTTTCTTATTTTTTAAATAATTTTATTTTACTACAGTCATTAAGTGAGAAAAATACTTCAGAAAAGTGCATGGAACAGGAAGACTGATGAGTTTGTTAGAGGAAGGGCATTTTAGGAAGTACCACATTCCACATGGATTTGGGACTTAAAACCCCTTTAAAAATTCAATCTTCATCAAGAGCTTATGACTGCAGAAGCACAAGAACTGATTAAAGGATACAGCAGATATTGAAAGTGATAAAAATTTACATGGGCTGCCTTTCTTAATATCTACAATTATTTTATAGTGAGCTCTGAACAATGAAGCTAAAGCCACTCTTCACATTTATTTCATGGGGAAAACGTGTTCCTAATTGTCTAATTATACATTTTTAACTTATTTTTTTCCATCTCCTCTCTCTTTGAAGGCCAGGAAAGTAAGAAAGTACAAGATGCCCACTTGCCTATTTCTTTACTGCTGCTACTTTCATAGGGTTCACTTGTTCCAGGCAAAGCTTTTAGTTTGGCACTCAGTCTTTCCCCTTTGGAACCACCAGTATCTGCAGAAAAAAAATAGTTGAAGACAAATAACATGCTGCTATGTTCTGTGAAATCATGATAAAACAACAACATAAATTCAGCTACTATCTGTCAAACAAGATTTGGATGAAACCATCTTTTCATGATGGATACAGTACTCATTTGTAGTAGTGGTCGTTAAAACACAATGGACACTGTGTCCACATGCATGCGTTTTCTTTTTTTTTTTAAATATATCCAGTCTTATTTACTTTGGAGTAAACACATTAAAATATTTGCTGACATTTCAGTTGCTTATAAATTACAGTCACATTTTGGAGTTAAAATAAGCATGACAAATATAAACATTGTCACAATGTATATGGACATTTCATATGTCTGTGTGCTTACTAATATATTAGTATGATCCACCTGTTGAATGCTCTCAAGGTTAAATACAACACTAGGTTTGCTTTGAATTAGAAGAATATATTTGGCCTGTGCTGCCTGCGCGGCAGGCAGGCACAGTTCATGTATACCATACAGACCACAGACCATCCTGGCCATGCATCTCGCTGTAAACACTGTGCTGGCAGCTCAGTTTGCAGCGGGGCCCCAAGGAATGTGTCAGCTCTGAGGGCTGCCTCGTGCCCAGACAACGTCAGATTAACATTCTCTTGCCACAGCAGTATTCCAGACACTTTAAACATTCTGTTCACCTCTGAATCTCTTTTTCACATTCATGGCAAGCTTTCAATCTCGTCTGCTACAACAAATTTTTATGCATTTTTTTTTTTCTCCTAGGAGAAAACGTTTCGTGTTTGGCTTGGTATATTTACAAGGCAGGACATGCCATGCTGCCAAATACAAACATGCTCATTTACAACATGAAACAATGCTGTTATTAAAAGTCCTCCATCTCTAAGGAGGAAAAATGGGTTTCATTCAGAAAACATTAATTACAAAGTCCAGACTTGGCGACACATTTCCATTGTCTTATTTACTATAAATGTTCTTTTTATAAATATTGTTACTATTAAAAAAAAAATCCACAAAGATGACAAACCTTTATTTTTCTAGAAATACTACTGCAGACTTCAGTTTATTCAGCCCTGAACTGGAAGACAATGCCTCTGCTCCAAGAAAGATCTAATACATAGAGTCACATGTCAAACAGTTAATGTGTTTACAAGGCACAGATTACTGTTGAAACTTCAAAGCAAGGAAAATCTATTCTAATGTACATCGACCGCCCTTGGATCAATTCTCATTGGCAGGTTCCATGGAAGAAGTAAATGCTTAATGAATGATTTGAAGAAACTGAAAGAAATCAATGGGTTTGATTGGGGGTGCTCAACCAAAGGGCTGTGAAATTGCAAAAGGGTCACCTCTTGATTTCAGTGGGCTTTGGACAGGCCTGCACAACAAGGAGGCGAGTGCTGAGCTTCAAAGATGGTGTGGATGAAAACATTTTGAAGACAGTTTAGAGGAAAATACAAAATGTTTTAACAGGGAAAGAAAGAGTAGGATAGGAGTAGGCACAGACTCTTGTGCAATGGAAAACAAGTGATTTACAAAATAATGAAGTTGGAAGAAGCAGTAAGGAGATGCAAAGACAGGAACAATACAGCAGAAACTGCACCAGGGGAAGACTGAACTAGTCAAAGAAAATCCATAGGTTTAATTGGTTGGTTCCAGAAAGGAAGAACTGAATGTAATGAAAATAAGAGAGGAAGATGGCATATCAAAGGTTTTCAACTGTCAAGTAGGAAAACACCTGGTAGTATCACTAAACCCCACAGGAAGGTGAAAGATTTTATATTAACTAAGAAAAAAAAAAAAGAACGGTAGACAAACCAAAATCGCTGATATAAATATAATACCCACAAGTTAACCGTACATCTTACTGCCTTAAAACAAACAACTGATAACAGAAGCTTTCTTGGACATCCTAGGACCCTTAAGTTACAGTAGGGCTATACCCAAGAAGGGAATGAAGCAGTAAGTCCAAAATTTGAAGCTGAATTTTCCCCCTTTTCTCTCCCCATCTAGTGGATTGTCCAACCTTTGAAGTATCTAAACCTCACCAACTGCCCACCCAGCACAGCTCTGAAGTTCCTTAAGCACCCATTGCTATGACTGAGTTGCCCAAAATGGCCACCCTGAGCAGCAAGATGCCTGCAGGGTATTCAGCATGTGACCCTGGTGCCTAAGCTCCCCTTTCTGTTTATAAGCCAATACAGTAAATGGAATTGTGAGTGCTATTACAGTGACCAAATGTAGCTTTTTAGGCTTCAGACTTGATTCAGTTGTCCAACCACATTATTTACTACATTTAATGAACTGAACGAACTCACCAAAGGGTTAGATTAATGCTAGAAGTAGTGCAAGGGAAGCAGCAAGACCATATGACCAGGAGTGGGAAAGAAAAGAAGTGCTGAGCGGGGCTGGACTGTTCCTTCCAAAAGCAGCAAGTTACTTGATCAGTACATCCTACTGTGACTAAATGCACCCTGGAAAAAACTAGGAAGAGTAAGTGTCTATGGGAACAGTGTGCTCTTAACACTTAAGTAGTAAGAACCTTAGGTGCTTAGGATGCCTTACCAGATTAGATTAAAGGTCTATCTAAATTGGCTTATTGCCCATACAAAAGAACAAGAAGCAGCTTGGGGAAGAGCATCATAAGAAGAGTAAGCATATACAGTAGCTCTCCAAGAGTAATTTCCTAGCCTCCAACAATTTGTAAATCAAGCACGTGTTTGGGGGAAGGGGGCGGCTCTTCATATTTAATAATGGATTGATTGATTTGTTCTCCAAGAACTTGTTCAGTCTTCCCTTGAGCCCCTGTGAAATTTTCACATCCATAACAACCTGAGGTAAGGATTTCCACCTTTCATTTAGTCTGAACCTACCAGTCTAGCCCCATCTCACCACAGAAAGAAGCACCCTGCCCTTTCTGCCCTGCATCACATTCCCCTCCACATGCTGTCAAGTGGTAGCAGGCTGTGCTGGAGCAGGTTACTGATGCATTTAAAACTGACCTAATGAAAAATTCTCAAGTGGATCATCACAGTAACACAGCTCAGCTTACATCTATACAACCATTATATCTACAGCAAGAGTGAAGTTAACATCTCTTCTGGTAGCAGCTCACAGTTCATTCAAATTAAGCTAATATACAAAACCACATCAAGTCTCCATGGACTGCACTATGCTCTGAGCATACCTAAAAAGTGGAAAAGCAGCATCTTTCATTTTAAAGCATATCTGGAAAAGAATAAGAGCTGTTTGACACCATCTACCTTACACGGAGATGTCAGCAGCTCAGGAAGCAGGAGGTCTGGCTTCAGTGCCTTGCTTCACCTGAGGGCGTTCTAACCCACAGCTCCATCTTTCAGGAGGAATGCCCTACTTGTTGAGGCTTTTCTTGACGCCCATGGCGGATACAGGGTTTGGCTGCCAATATGGCAGCTATTAAAAATTCTGCTGACCATATAACATGATTTTCTGGAAGTTTAAATCTTATCTTGAAATTACTTTTTATAGTTCTATTTGCAGATAAATCATCTACATGATTTTATTCAGTATACATACATCATCTGGCCAAAGATTTTATACACATTCCAGCTTTTGGATTATGGGAAAGAAACTAACTTTCTCTAAAGTAATAGATAGAAAAAAACCTGAAGGTAACCTTGGGACAAAGGATAATAAAAATCTGGATGAAAGGTTGCAGAGTTTTTTTTCTACTAATCGTACAGCTCTGAGTGTTAACATCTGTCTGATTGCACTTGCAATCAAAGGACTACAGGTAGACATTTCTCAAACTGCAAATGAATTTTATCTGCATTACTCCAGTAACTGTACAAACACATGCTCCTAATGAAATACAGTTTTTGAATAATGGAAGACCAGTGCTGAACTACATTACTCTCTGTATCCAAGAAAACCTTCACTGCAGTTAATACATGCTCATTATTTATTTAGTTATTGTACTTTTATTTAAAAGGTATGTTATTACTGTAGCTTGTGTGGAAGCCAGTCCTGGTGTACTCACTCTTGTTTGATAATGTGATATGTACACATAAACTAACTGCAGGAACATGGCTGCAAATTTCAGTTGAGAAAGCAACAGGAACTGATCAAGCAGAGCTGGTCAATATATTTTCAAAACCTGTTTTATAAATGTATTTACTCTGTAAAATGATTATACTTGAGACTTGGATTATCACGCTGACATTACCTTCTCCTCAGTCTGTGTGCGATAGCATTAACTGGGAGCTACGCGTATAAAGACATAAATAATATACTCTACATGCTGATATCTGTTACAGTGCATTCCTTCCTCTCATCTGTTTAAAAGCCATGCTCACAATGTTATATTTAGAATATTTAATTACATTATTTTAAGTATAATATGTTCATTTGGATTTCTTCAACTTCCATACAAAAACTAAATTGAACTAATTCTTCCACATACAATTTAAAAAAAGAATCAAAGTATAAAACTTATTTTAAAAATTATTAATTTTACATGGCAGAATAATGAATAAAGCAACATTCTGCAAAATAAACCCTATTTTGGAATAATCCTATTTTAAGCAGTGATATCTAGCAAAAAAGATTCTAAATCTTTGTGTTTCTGTACTTCCTACCTAGCAAGATACCTGTGTGTATATCACTTTATCTCATAAAATTCATTATTTTATATTTATTTTTAAAGGACTCTGACTAGTTGCAATTACAGTGATATTACTGCATCAGAAATTCCTTCAGTATCATGAAGGACATAAATTAGAATTTTTAGTACTATTTTACTCATCAGGAAAAGACATCAAAGGGTAAGGTTGTTTGTTAATCCGCCTCCTCTGTAAAATGTTTATGTAACAGAGTGCATAGTGGGCTAATGCTTTTAAACACTGCAGATGCTTAAATAAATCCAGAATGTGTTTAAATGTGTATATTCCATATTGGGGATGAAGACGCCATAGTTGGAGAAGAGAGGGCTTTGGTTTGACCAAAGAGAATACTAAGTTCAGCATAGTAGGCAGAATATTATATTAAAACTGAGAAACAGCATAGGAAGCACATGCAGTTTTTAACTCCACTGCAGTTCATTTTGATTTGAAATTCTGCAGAATGAAAATTGTTTATGGTGTGTCAGTTCAGGTAACTCCGTAGGTGAGTTCAGATGCAGAAAACAGATTAAGATGTTCTCTTCACTCATATATTTTCCCTCTCTGTTTATAAAAAAAATTTTTTTTGGCACACACAGCCAATGGAACCATCCTACAATGATTTGTAATTAATGAGGCATCAGCAGGCACACAAAGCCTAGAAAATGTAAGTGATCATGAAGTTGTGGCTGCAGGGTAACGAGAATCTCTTGCCTATATCACAGACAAGATTCTTTGGGATGCTTATAGCCCTAACACCTATAATGTGCTTCTATATGTTGTGAGGAGATCCCTATGGGCTGGTAAAGAGTGTTTGATGATGGGATGTTTGTTTGGGATGGATAAACCCATTTCTCCTCTGACATTGTCACAGGTAAAATCAAAAAGGGAAAAGACACGTAAATTATTCTTGTGTGGTTTCCTTCCCAAATTCATCTGGACAGGCTTAGGTAACAAGGAGAATGCAAAGTGCTCAGCCTTTCATCTTCTGAATGCAACACTGCTTCTTTGGGCTCCTGTCCGAGACCGCATGGCTCCTCTCACCCAGTACAAAACTCCCCTCTCATCCAGTACAAAACTCCCCATTCAGAGAGCAGGGCAAATGCAGAGACCAAGTAAACACTGCTGTGGTAATGTATTCCTTAAAGTCATACTTTCCCTTATCTATGAAAGGCCTCATGCTGTTGAACAGTAAAAATCTCATAGGGTAGTAAAAACCACAGTGTCCTAACTTCCAAATTCTGGATGTTACTATCACATCTCTGCAAAACACAAAAAAGTCAGTACGAAAATGGGGAAAGATTATTGGAAGGGAAGTCTTTGAGAACTGCCTAAAATCAGAGGTACTGTTAGCTCCCTTCAGGTTTTTGGGTTTTTTCTTTCTTTTTTAAGTTAAAAATAAGAATTTTGAGAGAGTGTACCAATGCCATCTGCTTCCAACATGAATCAAAAAGATTGAAAATCATAAATCTGGTATTTCTGGGGAGAAGAACATTTCACACTTTATAATAAGAGTGAACAAGTGTGTTCAATTTTGAGTAGGCATTTTAGATTTAATACTTATTCTTCTCACAGGACAAGAGCAGATTTTAAGTGACACCGATATAGATGTCAGTTTTCTTGGTCTCCCTTTTTCCATTCTGTCTACCATTCATGCATACACTAAACATATTCCTCAAATTATGCTTTGGTGCATCTCATGCACCTTCTGTTTTAATTTACATTGGCCAAGTGGTAGGTGTCCTATTAAGTACAAACCATGCTGACGTAGTTCTCTTTCCTCTAAAAAGCAATTTTAAATCATATTTCCTAAAACAAGGAAGCCTGAATTATTAATACTCCTAATATGAATAACTATATAGGGACAAAAAACTTGGAAAAAAAAGAATCTGTTACAAATGCCAAGTATGGGGACAGTGAGCTGGTAAGAGGGAAGAAATAAAACATGCATCATACCTAAAATATTTGGAATGCATACACACTTCATTGAGCTAGTAAGTACTTTAATTTAGCTACTAACTATTAAACTAAGGAGGATTCCATGCTTCGCTGGGTTCAGTAATGATGGCAAATCCCTCATACAGTGTAGGAAAATGATCCCTTTTGGTCTTGGCAACACCACTGGAAAAGATTAATCTTAAAATGTATACAAATGTTCCTTTTTTATATTTCTGAGCCATTAATTTATCAAAAGTATACTAAGATTCTGAAATAAAATAACCCAGTTTTATATTTCCTATGTGTCTTCACATGGGCCATGCACAGAAGTTTCTTACATTGCAAAATACAGACTCATAACTCAGGTGAAAAATGCCAAACATCGGACAAAATAATGTTTGGGTCTTCCAGTTTCCCTCAGTCATCCTCAGTAAAAGGCAAGCTACAACACAGTCCTTAACATTTGTTACTGTGAGCGTGCAGCTTCTTCACTGATAAGGTTCCCCAGAGTCAACATTACTAGTTAAAAAAAAAAAAAAATGCGTAATGCCTTTGACTCCTTCTAAAAACACTAGTAGCACATCACACCACAACTTCTAATTAGGAATACCAGCAGAAAGTTAACTCCAGGCTCAATACAGGACTTTCTTTGTACCTCTGCTTGCTGAGTCATTTCCAGAAAGGTTGGATCTTTGGCACTGAATTTGTATAACAGAGACTTCTCAAACATGCTCTTATACAGACTTGTTCCCAAACTGTTTTTTTTTTTCCATTTTTTCATGAATTTGACATAATATATTGTAACAATCTACAAATTATTGCTAGGACAAATTCTAGGTCAATTCTGACCCTGTTTACCCTCCCATGCTAACATTAGGATGTTAGCATCCTAAATGTCTGCATTTGCTCTTCTCCCATTCCTCTGGTTCTGGGGAGAAAGAGTAATGCCTTGGAATTACTAGAACTTGCAGTCAAAGTTCCTCATGTGTTCAACTTTGGAGGGGATGGGAAGGGATTTTTGCCATTTTGAATTTTTTTTAAAAAGACAACTTTCCATAGATATTTCTTTCTTAAAAAGAAGTATTGACAAACTGGTAGTTTGGGGGATTAATGTTGTCTTAGTGTCTTTCCAGCTTGGTCGTTATTTATATCCTCTTTTGCTAAATTACTGACTCACTCTCTCCTGATAACATGCTCCTTTTTCACTAATGAGGGTAGGGCTAATTACAAAATACAGCTGTAAGGAAAGAGACCCATTGTGCCATTTGGCTGTATGCTTGATGCCATGTTTTGCACAGCTGCAAATACCCTTGCCTGCTACCAATGCTGCTCTTAATTTCTATTTACTATAAGCCAAAGTGGATCTCCACTTTAGGACAGAAAACAGGTCCCACGCTGTCTCATGCTGCTGTTTTGCTGGCACCTCTAGCTGGCTGCCTGATCACAGGGCTTATGTAACAAAAGGGGAGTCCAGAAATGTTTCCAACCCTCTCTGTTACCAAAATAAGGAATTTCACACCAAGAATTACTTTGGCCTGAGGCCCAGAGCAGGTAAAATTCAATCATAGGTGAATAGTGTTTTTTTCTACATATCAAGAAATGATTTAAAAGCTTCTCTAGTGAAACAACTTGAGCTGAGAAAGGAATGAAATCTCTCTGAAGCATCCAACACTCAATTCTTAACCCTTAGAGAACCCATGAGAGCAGTACGCATAAACGTAACAGCATTCTAAGGTCATCTTAAGATTACACTGGTAATTTCTGTGACTTTTCATGACCCTACAGAATTGGATAAATGTAGCAAAGCATCTGCTACATATACAGATAAATAAAATTACCAAATAAGAAAAAAATAATCCATAAATTATTTCTCTGTCAAAGGAAAGGAAGAGAGGCAAGAATTTATATGGGACGTCTTTTTATCAGACCACCGATATTAAGATAAACCAAATCCAGAATACAAAGAAACCATTTCCTATTTGGGTCAAAATGGATTTTTTTCCAGGTGGCTGAAGTAGCCTGAAGTCTGCTAGTTTCCGTAGAGCAGAAGTGGAGAACAGTTTGGTTTAACATTACTAACATTTCATGGATTTAATAATGGGAGGGAAAAATCATTAGCTCTGTAATATGCAGACTACTTGGTGCAGAAAAGACAAAGCAGGCCAGTTTCCAGACTTGCACTGCTAGAGTTTTACATTTATGATAGTCAGCACTGTAAATCTATAGGAGCAGAGAGACTTAGTAGTCAACGAGCAAGCTTTCCTCTGTGGAAGACTGTAATACTTCAACTCTGCTATACTGGGAAAAGGGGAAAAAGGAGCTCAAAGATAGTACAAGTACTCCTTATTATGCAGTTGGTTGCACAAAAAAGCCTCTTGAACTTATAATGAACACCTAATGTAATAGAGTAGATGGCGGGCATGAAATTCCCTTTTCTCCATGTTAAATTAAGACATGGCTTTCATGTCCTGTTTTGTTATAATACATGATTCCTTATAGTAAACATTCTAATGTTCATGGGATAAAAACGTTCCAGTCCACAGTATTGAAAACAAGTAGAAATTTAGCTTTAGGAACACACTGAGATCTGTATATGAAGTACAAATCTTAGACCAAATCCATGCTACTATACCAGCTGAGGTTTCATGCAGCAATAAGATAATCAAAAAGTATGACACAAAATTTGTGAAGTACCTCCTATGACTCAGTGCATAGTTGTGTGCTTTTCGGAATGTAAGGAGGTTTTACAAACACTTTAAGAAAAACTATTTTCTTTAGGATCCTGACAAATCTGATATTTAAGCAGGGGCATTAAGTACTTACCACCACCAGCATTTCCTTCTCTGCGGCTACGTGCACTGCCATCTCTGCCAGATTTAATGCGCTGGAGATCAGTGAAAAAGGTTTGAAAAGAACAGAACAAAAACCCCATTTAGTAATATACATTAGAGATAGTTATTGAAAACTCAGCTTATTAAGTAAAACAGTAGAAAATTAAACTAGGCTTACTACACTGTAACTAATAGACCTTGTTTTTCCAATGCACAAAATTGTCCTTAAAATCAGTGTTAAATCCAATGTTTACATAAAGCAAGAGTTCTATGAAATTCAAACAGAATATCTCAATAAATTATTTTTTTTCAGATAAAATTTATACAAGGACTGTGCATAAAAATAGTTCAGATGTACCTTTGTAAAGCACAGCTGAAAAAACAGGCAACATAGCCCTCCTTGCATGAGTTCAAAGTAGCCTCTGCCTATTAATGTCTTGTAAATCCCACAAAAGTTTTATTATTGTAAAGATTCAAGGGGGGGAAGTAGGGAAATCTATAAAAAGAACTATTCACCCCATAGATCTTAAATTTTGAATACTTGGCACAGCACCGTACTTTACAGCAACATTTAATTTGCTGTTGAGTGTTAAATGCAAGATAAAGGCGAAGGTAAATACTTTAAAAGCTGTGTTTAAAAAGTCAGCTCTCTTGCACTGAGGAAGGTACCATAAACATCTTCCAGCTGTGTTTTTTTTTTTAGTGTTATTTGAAAACTTTCACAGTTTATCAAAGCAATACCTCTGTATCACATGGCAGACTTGGCTTCTCCTGGCAAAACACCAAATTTTGCATGCATATATCTTGTCAATTACAAGAACATACGTCTCAGTGAGGGACTTTTTGATGGGTAGTTACAAAAACTTGGTGTTTAGAGCACTCAGCTGTTAATAAAGTAATCTCTGCATCTTATTTCAAAGTATGAATTTGGGATCTGATTAAAACACATGTGCACACCACCTAACCGAGTATTCTGTTCAATTACTGTAGCTTCTCCATTCATTTTTCACCAGGAAAATATCATGGAGCCTGGCAAAGTTGGAATGACACAGAAGTGAAAGAACTTTCAAGAACTGTGCCAACGGAAAAAGGAAGACCCCTTAAATCAAAACTCACAGGAGTCAGACAGGAAAGCAGTGAGCCTACCGTGAAACCAGAAATGGTCTTGGAGCGATCCAGTCTGGTACCAGAATTTCTCATACTTTTTATTTATTTTGGGAAATCCTCAAGTCTAAAATATGTTCTCTGAACTCTGGATTAAATATCCGATTCGCAGTCGAGTGAAGTAACGTATGTCAGTCCTTCAGGAAGCACGTTCAGACTCTCCAAATGCTGAATGACTGACAAGTCTGCCAGTGGACACTCAGCTTCTGTCTGCCAGAGGGAATTGGTCCCTATATGATAGTACCCTCACGGCATTTACATCCCAGGACTTTACTCCCAGAATATTATAGAAATACTACAGCTTAAGCATATGACTAATGCCTGTAAAGTTCCAAGTGAGTAGTTTATAAGTTATCCCATACTAAAAGCAGACATTTAAAATAGGTCCAATGATTTCCACCCTAAAAATGCCTATTTCTCTCCTATGGCTGCAAAAGAAATTTAGGATGATTAGTCCAGATGTAGATGCCTGAAGGTAAAGGCAGTAAGTCCCCCCCAGTGTTTGCACCTATCATCACTGCTTCACACCACACCCAATCAGTCCCTCATTTTCAGTCATTAAGCTCGCTTAACAGAAATAAATAGTAATGCGTGTATACATCAGTGCCAAGAAAGTTGTGTGAACTTTTACACTATTGCCTGTCTTTTAAAAACTGAAATATGAAAAGAAAGATTAATGCAGTAAGAAAAAAAAAAACAAACAAACAAAAAACCCCCCTAAAACCAACATGTGAAGGTTACAGTAAAAATCCAATGCTTTGAGAGGCAGGGAGAAAAATTTCTACAGGGAATGAACCCCACAGATGTTCCCAGATTCTTGGCTGGAAGTATTTAACAACTTGTCCATATTTGAGAACTGAGTGAAATAAGTACTCCAGAATATTTATTTTGGTATAAACTCCATGTGGATATACTTATTCTGGAAAAACAATGCCAGAATAGCAAATTTTGACAAATTTCTACAGGAAGACAAAGTCTGCATGCAGACTTTGAAATATAGGTATATTACACTAGCATTTATCTATTTTCTCTTTACTGGGTGCAATCAAGAAATCATGGGTTAGCCTGAAATTGAGACCAGGAATGGAACTCTATTCTATCTGGTATTGCTAACTGAAACCAGTGTTCCTATTGGAAACTTAGGTGGCGAAATATTAAAATTTGATAATTTTAGAACTTGAAAGTACAGTTTATGACTATATGCTCATGGATGACAGAAGAAATTTCTTAGGACGAAAATATCTAGTAATTTCCATAGCCAGATGGTAGACATAAGACTAAAAACCCACATTCATCCCCCCAAACAATCAAACAAAAAAATTCCCCCAAACCAGGGGATGGGAACCCAGATGCAATAAGCATAAAGCAAAAAGGAACTGCAGGGCTATTGTTTGCAAGAGAGCACTGATGCTGAGATTCTGTCCCAGAAAGATATTCAACTTCTAATACAGGATGGCAGCATACTCAACTGCAGTGCATTCTGTAGTCTTTTTTTTTCTTAGTGTCTTTGTTTCTTTACATCTACAATGGTGTTGAGTTTTAAGAAAACTGGGTCAGTGGGTTCCTTGGGGGGCAGAAATAGTTGTTCCTTTCCTTGAGGAGACACTGAACTTGGGAGATTTCAGAGTGTTGCAGACAAGAGAGCCAGAAGAGGGAGATGGGAGCATGTCCCCCCAACCACAAGGAGCTGCAGGAAGGAGCAGAAAGCAACTGATCCAGCTTCAGAGGTTCTGAAGAGAATGTACTAGGAACTGCAGGGACAGAATTTTGCTGCCACTCAGAAACTCACTGAACTTACTCAAAGAGGCTGGAAGCATGGGCCTGCTTGCAGGGATGAAGTTGACAGAGCTGACAAGAGACCTGTTCTATTTCTATTGTTGATGGTGGCTTGGGGCAGCAGGAGGAATTGTTTTGTTTCAGATTTCTTTAAACCTCCTGCATTTCAGTTTTCTCTGCTTAAAAGAAAACTGGTTTAGTTTAAATTATAATAGAATCAGGCCTATTTTTATTTAAAAACCTGTTGTTTTTTTTTTTTCCTGGGCAACATGCTACAGTCAAGTGTTTAGGCAGATCTACCTCAGAGCTCTGCTCTCATGAGGCCCCAGCTAGAGTACTGCACTCTGGACCCACTCTGGGTCCAGACCACGAAACTGATCCAAGGGCTGGAGCACCTCTCCTGTAACGGACGATAGGACAAGGGGGAATGGTTTGAAGTTGCGCCAGGGCAGGTTTAGGCTAGACATTAGGAAAAACTTCTTCACCGAAAGGGTTGTCAGGCTCTGGAATGGGCTGCCCAGGGAGGTGGTCGAGTCCTCATCCTTGGAGGTATTTAAAAGAAGGATAGATGAGGTGCTTAGGGACATGGTTTAGGATGGCAGGGTTAGGTTAAAGGTTGGACTTGATCTTAAAGGTCTTTTCCAACCAAAGTGATTCTATGATAGGTTGAGAGAGTTGGGGTTGTTCAGCCTGGAGAAGAGAAGGCTCTTGGGGAGACCTTATTGCAGCCTTTCAGTACTTGAAGGGGACTTATAAGAAAGACTGGAACAGACTTGTTAGCAGGGCCTGTAGTGACAGGCAAGGGTTTTCATAGAATCATAGAATCAGTTTTAAACTGAAAGAGGGTAGACTTGGACTGGACAGAAGGAAGAAATTTTTTATGATGAGGGTGGTGAGACACTGGAACAAGTTCCTTCTACCTATGTGATCTGTCCATGTTGCAGCTAAAAGGAGTTCTAGTACATGGACAAATTCTTCGGCTTCCCTTCTCTCCCTGTAGTTGCATTATTACTTGGCTCATAAATACGCTTTATACAGTCTGGCAAATAAGTAGGAAAGACAACATTCCAGAGACATTGAATTATGTGGGTGGCTCCAGCATTCCCATCACATCCACATAACCCATCTCTCACTAGTATTTAAAAATCACAGAAAATCCAGTGCTCAAAACCCAGACAGATACAAGGCTGCTCAGTAATTTAAAACTAAAACTCCCCAAATCACAAAATACAAGCCTCTCTAAACCAGGAAGTTAATACACATTTTATCTTGAAGTATCATAAAAACTATTTTGGTTTAATTTATGCACATAGTGCTACTGTATAAGCACAGAAAAAAACAAGCTTACCTGTTCTCTTATTTCTTTTAACTTTTCCACTTTCTTGAGCTTTGTCATGTATTCCTGGACTTCTTTCAGCCCCATATCTGTGCACAGACGAACTAAAAATCGAAGACCTGATTGAAAAGCAAAACATTATTACAAAAAAAGGCAGGTCAAACCGCAAGTGCACATTAACAGAACTGGACACACAGAATGCAAATAACTGGGAATACAAGGTGACTCTAGTCCAGTATAACTATGCAAATTGTGATATTTTGCAAATAATTCAACATTTTCTGTAATGCAGTGTCTATATCCATGAACAGTACAAATACCATTTATATAAGTGAAAGACACAAGACACACTAACTCATCTGGCTCAGAACTCTCGACATTTGCGAAATATTTTGGAAACTGGAAAGCATAATAATGATACTAAGTTATTACTGAGGAGCCACCAGCAATAGCATTTTGTTGAAAACAATTTTACAAATGCCAAGTAAATCAGAATGGTTTGGGGTTTTCTGTTGCTGTGGTTGATTTTTGTTTTTAAGATTAGTATTTATAGAATTAGAAAACCCCAACAAACCAGACATGAAAATTGACTATATCTGTATGATAGAACCAAAAGAACCCCTAAAAAGTCTCCTGAGACATTATGTCAAACTCTGAAAACATTGTTGCTATTCCTATGTGTTTGTCAACATCCCTTTGAACGAACTGCCTCTGAAGCAGAAACAAGCATGACATGATCCATTACCCTCCTGACTGCTTTCACAAATATGTTATTTTCTTTTTGTGCTAAGCTAGTTTTCTGCTGGTTTAGGGAGCTGAACTTGTGCACTGAGGGATCAGATAAGCATCAGAACAAGCATAAGACAGACAGTTGGGAGCACGTGGCCAGGGAGGGATGAGTGAGGAACTCACTCAGCAGCAAACTTTTAATCCAGTTCAACAGTCTTGTCTAACTCCTGCCTCCATGTCGTAATTTGTAGAAACTACATTGAGAAAACTGTTAGCATTCTAAAAGGTTTACCAAATACTCTATCCCTCTGAAATACGCGTGACCCATATGAACATTTTGCTTATAACTTTGAGGAGTCATAGTATTGAATTTCTCTTGTACAACAGAGCTGTATGATTCCTCTTTAAAGAAGCAGTAAGTTTGTTAAAGCAGAACAATACCATTTTATTTTAAAATACAGTGAATGTTCTTCCCAGGTAGCATTTAAAAGCGTAGGCTTATGGGCGAAAACCTTGTATTCTGGAATTAGTGAGGCACAATGTGGGATGTAAGAGGATGTTTCTACCACCAGTGACAACCCCTCTTTTGTACAGGGCTTTTTCATTTAGAGTACGGGTGTGACTGATTTTGCAAAATGTCTTACTTTTCAAAGTTATGCTTCCTGTAGTTTAGTTTTAAATTCTGCACAGATTTTCTTGAGACTGCTTGACCAACTATACATAAAAACCCAACAACAAAATCTCACCCTCTATGTTATTTTGGAAGGCCTGGCTTTGGTAAAACTTAGTAAGATTTTCTCATACCTAGAAACTTACAGCAGGAGTTTCAAGTAGCAGGGACTAGAAGTAAAATACATATATTTTATCAGAAAAAAAGATTAAATAAGTAACATAGTTATAAAATTTAGAAAGTATGTATGTGAAAGAACTCAACCAATCCGCTTCAGTCAAAGTTTATTTTCATCTCTCTTCAGCATTACCATAATATTTCTAAAATCACACTTTAGTGTTGTCACAGAAAACATGCAGCATTATCATGAGTAAAAATGTTAGTTCATGAAAATATTTTCATATGAAAAATACTTACATCATATGATTAATAGATTAGTAACAACACAGATTCAATGTAACAAAGTTTCCTTTAATAGTTGTACCACTCAATGAAACAACTTACATTCAACGTTCTCTGGGAATTTTCCATGAATTACTTTGTATTTCTCCAGCGCTTTCTGGTAGTTACCTGCAAACAAAACAAACATCTCCTATCCACATATCCAAATGTAAAAAAGAGTATCTGATGAGACATTGATGCAGTATAACATCACTTCATCATTTTAGTTTAAGTACATGACTTAATATTATACGACCGAATTTGATAAAACCAAACTTACTGATAGTAAAAATTGATTAAGGGGAGTTTCCCAATTTTGCCCTTTTTTGTCCTACAAAATTTTGACCACATCTACTAGACAAGCTGTATCAAGCATACCGGGGCTTATCTGAGGCTGCAAATGTATCAATTAGTGAAATAGAAATGTGTAGCAGCTGAGCTCTGCCTACCTTTCCTTCCATCAGAATACTAATGGTGTGTCTCTCCTTTACTCAGATCTTATAGCAAAGTAATTATTCTTTAAGACTTTTGCCTTCAATTTTGGCTCAGCTTGGTTATTATGGAAAGGACTGATAGACCCTGTGAATCTAAAACCTCATATCCATAAAATATCTGACAAAAATTTTTGTTGAGATCACTATTTTTATTTTCCTAGTGTGAGGTAAGAGATCAAACTGACCTGCTATGGGTTAACAGGATAAGCTGGGAATTTTGCCAATGAATCATAAATTACCTAAAAAGCAGCCAAAACCATTGTGTTTCTTTGCTAGAAAAACAGTTAATCTGTCTAGTTTTGGGTGGTGCTGACTGTTCTTGATTGACTTTCCTAGGTCCCATTCCCTTCCTCACTGTTGCATTAAAAAACTGAGCAGAGTAAGAAAATGCACTTATTTGTTGTGGAAGTCTGTTCTGCAACGTTCAAAAGAAGCATTAAGAAAAGTGACAAAATGGGACAACAAAAAAGGGTATCCTTTACATCATCAAGTGCCTTGAATGCATCTGAGGTGATGAAAAAACCCAGAAAGATTGGTGTCTTTCCATTTCATTTATTGGTATATTCCCAGTAAAGATATACACCACTTAAGACTGTCATTTGTTTGTGTAATGCAAATACTATTTTAATACCAAAAAAAATATACCTGCTGTTGAAAAGGAATGGGAATTAAGCAACTACAAAATCCAATTACCTTTGTTAGATCATAATTACATTAATTACATTAAAAAAATTCTATTAGTTCATCTATGTAGTGTCTTCTTCATTTTACTTATTTAACAGCACAAGGAGTGTTTCATGCATAAGACAGTGAAGGCACACTTCCTGACTTAAAAGAAAAGTCATGTTTTATTACATATACTCAGAAAATTTATAACAAAATAATATGTAACTGAATTTTCAAACAAACTTTAGGACCAGTATTCACATCAGGTAGAAAAGATCAAAAGAAAAAAAAAATCAAAACATCAAAACAAAACAAATCATAGAATAGTTTGGGTTGGAAGGGACTTTTGAAGATCATCTAGTCCAACCCTCTGCAACTGGATCAGGTTGCTCAAAGCCCCATCCAACCTGACCTTGAACACTTCCTAAGATGGGGCATCCACAAATTCTCTGGGCAACTTGTTCCAGTGTTCCACAACCCTCACTGTAAAAAATTTCTTCCTTACGTCCAACGTAAGTCTACCCTCTCAGTTTAAACCCCCTTGTCCTGTCACTACAGACCCTGTAAAAAGCCTCCCTCCATCTTTCTTACAAGTCCCCTTACATATTCTCCAGGCTTCTCTTCTCCAGGCTGAACAACCCCAACTAATTACAAACTATATTACAAACCTTGAACCAAATACAAAAAAGTTACAGAACTTACCACTTCTCCTGTAGCAACTGGCAACCATCAGCTGCCACTTCACTTGTGTTGGTCTGCATATAAATAAAATAAAATTATGCACAGTGCCAAACATTAAATAGGCAAAATAATCTGCAGAGCATTGGTAAAGACCTATTACTAAACTACTCTTAAAATCTTCCACCTAGCGTTTTGACTTCCTAGGAAGAATTTAGCCTGTTCAATTCACACACAGTTTACACCTGCATCATGCTCCTGTGTTCAGGCCTTGATATCACTCGTTCGTAGTCCTCCATTACAGACTTTCTCCTGCTCATGATTCCATGCAACAGACAATTAGCAGACCTGACACGTGAACCACTGATTTTTGTCTAAGGTACAGAACTATGCAGTGGGATAGAACAAAATGCTAAACTGCATTCTGAGGAAGACCCACCAGTCGGGTCCCAAGCACACCCAAGGGATCCCTGGCAGGAAGCACACTCCCTACTTAGAGCTGCAAAGTCTGGCTTCTCCTCTGTCATCACCTTGATGCCTGAGCTGCTACTTGCCCTTCTCTTTTTAGCACGTAATGGTGATAGACACGGTCAGAGAAAATATATATATTTGAGATGTTTGAGCATGTACAACAAAACTGTTGGACTCTTTCCTCATTCACATCAAGATAATGCGAAAACTAGGAAATTTGCATGTCAACAGTGCAAGGATGTTCTATAAGCCAAAGCTGTTTTTCACATGTGGCTTACAATTCAACAGTAGGACATCACAAAAGCACTGTACGCTAACATTTTCAGAACACTTTTGTGCTTATTCTCTTCAGTTTTTCCCCCCAGTCACAGCACAAGTAATTTTTAACTCTCGGTAATCTGTTTGCCTGGTAGTTACCAAACACACTTCTGAAAGACATCTGCTTCACCTTTTTTATTTTGAGCTGAGTATGTCTCCTACAAACAATAAAGGCAGCCAAACAGACACTGTAATAAAATTTATTATGCAGTTCAGTATGAGTAAATTGTCAGCAGCCAGCGTTAAGCTGCACAACTCCTTTTATTAATGATAGAATTGAGCATGCTAGTAAAATGTAAAATAATGAAAAACTGTTTCTCAATTCATTGTCTAACATGTTATCTTAGAATGCAATTAAAAATGTAGTTATTGCAATTAAAATACTGAATACACTAAATAATGTTAAACTAAAAAAATGCTGGTCACGGTTAAAATAAAGTTACATTTTAAAATGTAACTTTATTCGCAATTAGTAGCAATTTATAACCTAATATTCTTATTTATCAATTAGCATAGCTAGACTCTATTTTTAATACCAAATAAACACCAAAGCTTCTATGTTCTGTTATCTACTATTAACAATCTCATCCCACAGAGAAATAATTTCTCTGTTACAGATAGATTACAATGACAAATAATAATGAAGACTTTCATATGCCAATTATTTGTAAGTACTATACAATCCACATACTGCATGGACTGAGTGCAACATGAAGCATAAAACATTTAGATTTTTGCCAAAACAAGGCTGTGAAATAATTCTTTTTAGTTTCAGCTGTTTCTTTCCAAAGTTTCTAGGAAGGCCGTGAAAGCCAACAAATGCAAACTCATAGCTTGACTAAAACACAATTTTTTAAGGTAGCCAGTATTTATACTGAAAAGAGTATTGGCAAACCTGTGAACTGTGATTTCTGTGCACTGTCTCCTGTGTATTTTCATCTTATCTACATCTCTATTTCTTTATGATTATACCAGAATTTGGGTGAAGTCTATGTTTTTCTATTTATTCTTGTTTCAATTTTTAATCCTTATTTAAACCTCAGATTTTCTTTTCTGTAATTAACCTCTGCTCTAACTCAAGCCCTTTCAAAAGCAGAATTAGTATTTTTTACTGAACTTCTAACAACCTATTCACTGTATAATCTTTCCTTGAGTAATAGTGTACAAATTTTTGTTCACATGCCGTCTTGTTCATGCATGTCGTTCAGATTCACAGAACAAAGAGAATGTCAAATTTTAGATCATCATAAGAGAAGCAATAACTGGGTTTTGCTTAGCCTGATTTTTGATAGGTTTCCCAAAATACAAAATAGAGAAATTCACACTTGTTGGAGTGAATTTTAGTTGCATGAATTTTAGTTGGTCTATTAATGCAAAATTCTTTGTGAACAATTTGTTCCCACATAAGAGGACCATATGCATGTCTTTTTAGAATTCTGTTTGAACTCTAGATTACAGATTGAAATTTGACCAAATTTTTATTTATTAACCATTTGTCTGGTAAGCTCCCTTTCTTTCTAAAATAAATTATATGGCCTATATACCTTCTTAAGTGCATCATATTCTGCTAGAGGCCAATTTCAGCAATTAAGTTGCTGAACTAAACTCAATATGTTTCAAATATCTCTATCAGGATTAATTTGATCTGTCAACTTATTTTCACCAACTATTGATAATTCTGCACTTCACATTTTTGCTTACTTCTATACCTCATTTGTAATAGCTTTTTTATGGGAGTAGAAGTTACATGAGAAGTGGAAATGCAGCAAGAACTGCTAGAAGGTGCATTTATCTAAACCATCTAAACCACACCGCATGATAAAACAATGGAAAGGAAATATTTCACATGAAGCCATAGAGAAGCAGGTCTTGGTGGCAGAGGAGAACTATTCCCCACTTCATAGCTGTATTTAATGGCAGAGGATAGAGAGAAGAGATTTTAATACCTAATACTATCTTAGGCCCAATGGAGGATCTTACTCAACATTGAAATTGCACAGTAAGAGCAAAACCACACTGTAAACAAACAAAGTTGAGAAAATTAAATAATATCCCAAATATTCTTAACTCTGGTATTTGCTTATAGCATTAAAGTTATCCAACTAATTTATCTCTAGGTATACTTACAGATGTCTAATCACAAAATATTTGAGTAGGCATAAAATAATAATTACTTACAGGATAAGTGCTGCTCTCTCAAAGTACTCAATGGCTTTTTCACAAAACTGAGTGTCAATGTAATAGGCTCCAAGCCATTCAATGACCTCAATGTTTGAAGGGAAATACCGGTATGACTGACAAAATAGGAAAGGTGAAAGAAACACAATTTTAGTGATAAACAACATCTTTATGTTACTTCTGGAATATCTTACTCAAGTGTTTAATTCTCCAGATGCCAAAACCATGTAATATATGAATGGAAGTAGTGTGCTATACTAAGTAATCCTGAAAAAAAAAAAAAAAAAAAAAAAAGCATGCCAAGTTTTCTAATTACTGAATGCTTTTTAGAAGTTACCCGAGATGAATCTGTCACTTTTTCCATCTAGCCTTATTCAAAATATTAAATAGTTTGCAACAGCAAAAATGTTTACTTAGATCATGTCTACATGTGAATAAGTTACCTAAAACGTTAAACAATGCTAACTAATACATGTACAATTCCACACTCAAATCAGTCTGATGGAAAACTCACCTAAAAGCATTCTTTTCTATGAAATACATATGGACATAAATAATGTTTTCAGCTTTATAGAAATTCCCACTGAATTAGGCAGCAACATTATCATCAAGCACAACTCCACTAGTATTCAGATTACAACACAGGCTTTGGTCATCCTCGCTTTACACAGATAAAAAACCTCTCAGATGGCAACAAAGCAACTGCCTGCCTTATTCCTGTTTCTCAGACAGAAGAATCTCTACAAACTACAGACAGTACTAGAGCTGGTTTGAAATGAGAGAGGACGCCTATCTTTAGGCAACTGTGTATACATAATGTGTAGCTGTACCATTAAAATTATATATGTAACTTACATACATAAACACTATTTTTATGTGTATATATATATATATCCATATCCATTATACAGATACACCTTCCAATCAACGCAGTCATGTTACACACCTTTAAAATTACATTTATTATATCCATTTTTTATTTCATCTCAAGACTATATTTTAAATTAAAATTGTTAGGGGTCAATGTAAACAATGACCACATGAAAATGAAAGTCTGAGGTCAAATACCATGTGGAAACACAGGCCATGTGTTTCCTTAGGATCTGACTAGAAAAATTAGACTTTGTCAACTCACTCTCCCTCAAAATATTTTTTTATGACATTTTTAAAAGTTTAAATGAATCAATTGTTAATTTGATATAGGAACCTATGCCAAAATTGTCTTTAATTACAACAAAGTGCATTGGAAAAGAAATAAAGAGCAAGTACCTCATAGTAATAATGAAAAGCTTGGGATTTATCACCTTCATTATCATATAATTTCCCTAGCTTTGAAAGTACATGTGGATCCGTTGGTACTACACTGATCAACTGCAGGAGCCACTCTATGGCTTGATTGGGATCCTCCATGATCTCATATCTGAGTTTTCTTCAGTCAAGGACTGACGCTGTTGATATTTTGATTTACTCAGAATTCCTGCTATTTTATATAATGTAATCCATATGCTGGACAGATACAACGGTCACTGTAGTGTGGAGATACATTGCTTTTTAGGTTTTGGGGGGGGGTTTTTTGTTTGGTTGGTTTTGTGGTTTTTTGGTTTTGTTTTTTTTAAACTTTGTTTTCATAATTTCATTCGTATCCGAAAATATTTTTGTTACACTGAAAAGAAGAGAAATATCAGAAGCTTTGGCTGCTCTTCCACCTTAAAAACACTTTGGGCTCAACAGAACTTAGGGCTCTGTTCTCCTCTCTCTCTGTTACTAATTTTACTTTGACTTCCTCATTTATAGGAGTGAAGTGTGAGAAGCAAGCAATCTATCTGTAGCTTTTACAGCTTGTCCTAAAGTAAGTGATTAGGTAAAACTGCTATCCTCAAGAACAGACTTTTGCCTGCAGTGAGATGTCCTGCTGTATGTCTAAGCAGCACAGCACAGGCAGTGTACAATTCTGGTCCAGAGAACAGAGGCAGATTTAGCTGTAATTAGGCCTGCAGTGTGCTCTCCCCTCCTCAGCCACCCCTGAGCAGCACAACAGCTCAGACCTCTGCAGCAACGTGAGCTGGACCTACTGCCCAACACATTTTTTCGGTTTCTGCTGCACCCTACCCTTCATACAAAAAGCTTGTGAGTGTTGGTGGAATGCAGTTTTACATAGCAGTGTAGCAGAGGAATCCTCTCCCAGATGGGAACAGGGAGCTGTAGGGCCATTTGTGCTGTTGTAAAGGGGTTGTAAACTTTGTACGCAAGGAACAGAGATCACAGGCCTTTTGTATTTTTGGACGTTACTTAGTTTACTGACTAAAATATATTTTTATTACCTTCACTTTTCTTAAAAGTATAGTACAGCAACTGGAATCTGTTTCTGCCTTGGGGAGGATTTTTTACAGTTTGCACATCCACAGAAGCATTGTTAAAGAAATTCATAGCGTAGAATATCACTCGTGATGTGCAAAGCCAACCCCTCCCCTCTCAGATTTTCACTCTGTTGAGCTTTTACAGTGCTGGGAGACAATTATTTTCTTACCCATACACTAACTAATCTGAAAACAGCTTTCAGAACAGAAGTTAATTTTCATTAACTATATTATCTTTTTCTTAAAGGTTTTACTCAATTGTGCTTACATCTGCCACATTATTTTCATAATAAAATCATCAACATTTTAAATATCCCAGGACATGCCTTAATACTGAGTCTAGATGTATCCCCTGCAACGTGAACAGTCTTAATGTATTTCTTCACTTGCTTCACTGGAAATGCCCAAGGTGGTTTTAAGTTCTGTTCTTGTTTTTACAAATGTCAGAGAATGCATCTATGCATGATCATCCAAATTATAATGGTAAATTTCTAAGTTGTTGTGTCAGGATTGAAACGCATATTTCAGACTAAATGAGTTTACTAAAATCACCATCCTTTATCATAATCCAGAAAAAGATACATGTTTGCTATCTGGTGAAGGACTTGGGCACTATTTCGAAGGATTGCATGGAGTTTAAGGAAACAATCCAAAGCTTCATCTATTCTGTTTAACTTCTTGTATGTTAAACCTAAAAAACAAAGGTTACAGTATTAATACAACGAGAAAAAGATTACTTCAGCATATTAGCTGACAGAATAACCAAGAAAAAATTAAATAGGAACACAATACTCAAAGGCAGTATAACTGCCTTGACACTGATGGACTTTCTTCTTGAGAGACGTGGCTATAATTCTTTCCAGCTAGTATGACTTACCAAACGGATAAGTGCAAGGAACACGAACCTAATCAAAGACCAAGAACATATATAATCTCACTTTTTGAACAAGATGAATGAAGGAAGGGGAGGGCTTTCAGAGAGAAATTACTCTGATGGTTTAATAATGTTAAAACTGGTATATTTTAGTAGATAGTAGAAATTCAAAGTAACAATCATCTGCATTTACTAGTTGATGTCATTAACTCTAGTATTTTTTTGCAGAACAGATAGCAAGTACAAATTAATACCTTGCCATAACATAAATTACTGAATAAAATAATAATAATAATAATTGGTATATATTTCTATACAAGAGAACTCTGAAAGCCAGATTCTCAGAAACACTAGCATTACCTTTAGACAAAAGCTAAATCACAAAAGCACCTTTGGCTTACCAAGATTATAAAGTGCTTCAGTGCATGAGGAATCATTCCTGAGAGCTTCCTTATAAAACTCAGCTGCTTTTTCATAGTCTCCGTTTGCAAAAACAGTATTTCCTTTGTTAGTTAGAGCTGCTGGATTGTACCTATCAGAATTTACAGCTAAATCTGCATAGTTAGTTGCTTGTGCCAATTCATTCTCCTACATGAACAAAACAAACACTGTATTAGTCATTTGTCAGGCAATGTTCTTGCAGCTGTGGCTTCTTACAGTTGATATAATGGAATTTTGAAAGATTGAGGATGAAAAAAATTATACATTCTTTAGTCCTAAAAGTATTCCTTATGTATTTGCATAAAGCAGATCTCTTTCAAGTTTCAGAGAACTTAACATTTGAGACATGTTTTGCCACATTGTCCCATTCAGCCTGGAAGTTTTCTTTGTTGCAACAAAGCAGTATTTCTTTAAAAAAAAAACAGAAACAAATCCCCCCATACCCTACAAACTTCATGCACAAACACACTTGCCTAAGCTACATACTTCACATGTTCCTGAAGTTCAGCCAGGGTCTTCAGGACCTGAGTTTTAAATGCAGCTGCTGAGCTTCTGCACACATCACACTGCAGGCATACTTCTGTGGCCTGGGGCTCAATCTTACTCTTCCTCCCAGCAACAGGATAATAAAGGACATGCTCCAAACTTCAACTACAGCCAAGAATGGGTGTTCCAGAATAACGCCTCTAACAGCAGTTTCTTGTCATTTAGAGAGATTATTTAGACAGACACAAAAATTGCTAAAGATACAGAAGTCACTACATAAACTGCATACACTTACCAAATAATAAAGGAATGAAAGGTTTGTTGCAGCTGCACTCTTTACTCTGCTGTCCTTTTTTTCAAACATTTTTAAAGTTTCCAGTGCCTAAAAGTAATTTAGAAAGAACTTACTTCCTACTGAAGCAAACTTACACTGAAAGCATTGATAAACTTCACAGTAACAAACAGCTAAAATTAGCAACTCATATACTCACATACATAATTACTAGAGCTTGTAACACACACTTGTAAGCATATACACATGGAAATATCCATTATACATAATATTAATCTTGGTCACAAAATTTCAATAGTATTGGCTATTTACTACTTTCAAATTTAGATATGGCTACCTTGCAGTACACATATCTGATAATTCTATACACACAAAACACAAGTTTATATTATTTGCTTTTAATCTAGTCAACCAATTAAAATTTTGATACCTATTTGTTCCAGTTCTTTAAGTGAACACAAAAGGATTAGCATTAAAACTCTATAAGGCTAAAAAGTACACGCTATATTAAAAAATACGCAAGACAGCGTAGGATTGGATTTCAACTTGCAGTTGTTTTGTGTACTAAGGAGATGACACCTGTCTAAGTTTAGGAAGTACTCAAACATGAAGAATAAGGCCGGAAGATTATTTTTTTTTAACCTTTTACATAAAAACTAGATTTCATAAACTCCAAAATAAAGAAGTTTATGGACAAAAAGTAAACAAGTTTATAGCTAATAAACTATGAAAGAAACTTTGAAATAAAAGGCAGGGTGGTTTTTTTTTTTTCCATTGACTATATGACAACACTTACAACTGCAGACTAAATTATTATGAAAATCTGGCTTCTTTACACTAAATATTTATATTAACTACACAAACTGTTAGAATATCACAGTGAGCCCAGTTCTGTCATCTATTACAACACAGATGTGGCAACCTCAATTTAGGCATCAGCATTCGCAATTCAAAAGTTTCCTTCTTCACTTACATGAAACCTGTAAGCTTCTGTTTACATATCAAAGTGAACGTGTGATACTGTATGTGGAATGTCAAAACAAACATAAAGGAAACAAGTTTTAATTGACTGTCATCCATACTCTTTTTACAGTTACTTTACACAAAAAACATGACTATACTAATGACATGCAAATGTCAAAGTATATACAGCTAGATGTAGTTCATTGATTTAGTCAACTACATTCCACCCAAGAACTATGAACTACTAAAGATCACAATATTCTCCTAATAATAGAAAATTCTACAAAGAAATACACCAATTTAAATCAAGAAAAGCATTTCAAAAGTTAGGATTTAGATTTTGTGGTCTCTGAAATGTAAGACTTCAGCTATGATAATTTTAAACTTTCATATAAGGGAATGGTCCCAAATATTTACAGATGTACCACTACTATACTGGAGATACCCTACTCTTAAGCAAAGACTTACTGCTTCGAGTAAAAGCTGTGCACTTCTTATAATGGAATTAATTTTTAGTGAACTTACAGCTATATCATGCAAAGCCACTTTCTGAAAAGTCATTTCCCTTGTAGCCGATTTGTTTACCTTTGCTTTTACTGCTAAATGGCACCTTTGATGATAAAAATTAGGGTGGAAGTAATCTCTTTTTCATGTATAATGAAGTGTCCATACGACTTCATCTTGGACTAGATGACCTCTAGGGGTCCCTTCCAACCCAAAACATTCTATGATTCTATGACTCTGCACTCCATTAACTTACTGGTAAATTATGGTGCAAGCCTTGAACCATTTCAGCAATTATGAGCCCTAGGATGAAAATCCATAGCAATACTCCTTTTGTCCTTGCAAAGTAGAAACGCAGTCACTGTATCATCAGCTAAATTTATGTATTTCTAAATAACTTCTAACTTTTTAATCCCAACAATAACAATTACTTGGATTCAACAATCCAAGCACAGATTGTTCAAATTATTCTTTGTGACACGTTTCCAATGTAGCCAAATTATTTGCTTGCAGAAGCTAAACTCCAAAGCAGCTTGTGGGACCCAAACAGGGTCTGCCAGACATGAGTCATGTGGCTAACCTGCAGAATTTTGTTTTGAAATTAATTTTCAAAGTTTTTCTTTGAAATGAAGAAAACCTTCAAAATATCTAATACACAAAACCCCTTACGAAGAAAAGACAATCTAGAGATATTGTGGTGGTTTCCACCCTGAATTTCTTTTTTTTTTTTTTTTTTTTTTTTTTTTTGCTAGGACTGTTTGCAAAAAACATATTCATTATGAAGAGCACACAGTTAAGCCCATTATAGTTACAGCAGAAATCTATTTCAGTTCTTCTTTTTTGAAACACAATAAAACTTTCAGCCTTGAAACTGACTATTTCAAAACATTTCCATTTTTGTTCTTCAGCCAAAGGTGTGTTGAGCAGGTGGCGAGTTAGTAAGTATATGAACAACAGACAGACGGGATGAATATAAATGGCAGCTGCAGTTTTATTTGAAAAAAAAAAAAAAAAAAAAAAAAAAAAAAGACTCTCTGCAATCACCATTCTGCAGTCCCATTCTACCATTAAGTAGTTCCAGTGCAGGTTAAAGGTCTTCTATCACTTAATCAAAATTAAAAGAGCATCTTCTCCGTTTACTCATAATTTCCAATACCCTTCCCACTCCCTCCACTGGAGTACTCCACAGAAACATCACCAATAATCTCTGTGTCTCATTTTACCTCTGAGAACTGATTTTTTTTTTTAACCTATACTGGATAATAACTGGAAATCACAAAAAATTACCATCAAAATAGTAAATTCTTGAGATCATATGACTGTTTACCTACCTATAACACTCTCACCTTCCAAAAGCTATCATCAATAAAGCTACTAGATTCGCACAAATTTTTCCAAACTCTCAAACTGCTTCCTGATCTCAGTAAAGCTTTCAGTCAGACATGCAGTGTAACAACGGATAACCCTCTTGCTATATCTACAGAGAAGGAGGACAGGACAGACACGAGGAGCAAGAGCTGCTCAGGAAACTGGAAGAGCTTAAATATGAGAAGAAAAAGTGGGCTACAGTTAAGCACGTGGCCCTGTGTGCATCCCTCCAAGCTATGGGAAGGTGAAGGACCTTAGAATATGACAGAGGTATTCAGCTTCAGCTGTAATTTTGCTGCATATGAGCTCTCATACTTCCTGCCACTCATGCAAACCTGGGGGTTGCTATATTCCTTCTTATTTATTCAAGCATTCCTATCATTGAATGTACCAAACAGTGCGTGTTAGAAAGAAATCGAACAAATCTTGTCAGATATCTGAGCTTCTTTTTGTTCAGATTAAGCTGTTTTCCAACTGCTCATATTTCAAACCAGGCCTTTTTTCACAAGCAAAGAAAAGATCACATGACAATTTTGACGAAAAGCTGGTACTATAAGTTGTCCCACAACCTATACAAATTTGATTAAGAGCAAAAAAATGCATTTGTCTTCAAATAAAACTTTACAAGAAAGCTGCACGTTCACATAGATAATACCAAAAACTTAAATGTGGTAAGCTGTGGTATTAATTTATACACTTACACTGGCAATTTCTATGCATAGAAAAGGAAAGCTACAGTTAACAGCCTCCTGTACTTATTAGTAAGAGATTGGTGATTTTTACCACAAAGGCAGTCCGCCATAAAATTAATTGGCAGAAATTTGTCTAACTAGTGATTGGATAGCCAGTTGCAGAAAGAGATCTTACCTACATAAACACACATAAATAATTTCAACAGAGCCAAAAGTTACTTCACATGTGTATATTTAAAAATATAACAAAACAATGAAAAGGGAACATGTAATAATATGCATGATGAAAACTGTAAAAATCACAAAGATTTTGGTAGATCTATGTTCTGAACTTCTGCCAGTTAATGAATTTTGAGCAATGAGCTATACTTTTACTTGGAAGTACTGATACAGTATCTTTTCTATGATCTTCCTCATTTGCTAATATACACTGTGGCTTAAACAGCTATATCATCTTTTCAGTAATGGCGATTCATCCTAGCCTTCTGTGCCCTCCAGAGGGGGCAACCTTTTATTAGAGATGCAGAACTGCAGAACCACCCAGGCTCCTGAGCAGATGCTTAATTTAATTCCAATTTGTATTTCAGTGGAAGGAGAAGAAGGCTCACTAAAGTTCAAGGGCAGATTGTAGTATTTTAGGGAATGCTGTAGTACATAAGAGAACAGTGAGAATACCATAACATAAACAAGAATGATACATGTGAAGAGCATCTGCATATATTTTGGTACTACAGTCAACCTAACTGAGAAAAAGATTCAGCTCATACTCATGAAAACATCTCCACGTGGATTAGCAACATGGTTTCTAGGCTCCATTGACATACTGACTACAGTTCCATTAACTGTAACAACAGCTCGGGCATCCAGTGAAGATAACTAAATTTAGGTGTCTTAATTTTTAAATTAACTGCATTCACTGTAACTTCTGTGGCAGAAATTTCATTTAGATAAAGCTCATCTCTTGTCAGTGTTTTTATAAAAATCATTTTACTGAGAAGCATCAATATAATTATAATGTTTGCATAAATCATTCTTTCCCTTGCTGAAAAATATGCTATGGCTAAGATAGGTATCTTTGCCAATACGTTATTAAAAAGTAGTAATGTGAAAAGTTACTATACCTGATTAAATTTTTCCTCAAGTAAGTAGTGGCTTTATTTATTTCCAGGTCATTGGCTAACTCTACATAGTGGGAAGCTTTTACTACTTCAACACACCTGCAACAGAAAGCACGCCATAAAGATAAACAAAATGCATCTGTGCAAATGCCACTTTAAATTATATATTTTTGCAGCCAATTAGCTTTCTAAAATGAGTTGTTCTTAGCTATTCTTTCTTTACAGAGGCAAAGAGCATTCAGAACAAAAATATTTGAAAAACCATTTTATTCCCATAACCTACCTTAATAATACTATCTCTGCCCTCTTTTTTTTTTTTTTTAGTCAGCTGCCTAAATATGTTATTTTCCATCAGTAAGTGATACAGATATTGACTAAGATAATTTTTCAAACTATTTTCTTTGGATGCATTCTATCGGCTGATTTTTCAAACCTGATCTCCTGCTGCAGATACTACCAAACCCATAAACCAATTTAGAGAACAAAGCTAGAAACTGCAAATTGTGTCCCTGAGCTACATAATAATAAAGTCATAATTTTAAACCTCCTTCTGATCGTCCCCCAGCTACTTTTGGCTTAGGGTCTTCTGCAAAATGAGGGCAGAACAGAACACAGCAGACAGTTCAGGTGCTCATTCTCAGACACCATCTTCCAGGGTTTGATGTGATGTACTTTAAAATTGCCTAACCATTTGAAGCAAGACCTTTATTTATTGTATACATATACTTTTCTCTCAAACTGGTTGGAATTAAGCACACTAAATGAACAGCTTTCTGGGATACTTCTTTAATCCCCTTCCCTTTTTTTTTTTTTTTTGAAGTGGTGAAAAGCCTTTTTCCTTTTTTTCTAATAGTTGGCTAATATGCCAATGAAAGTTTAATTTCACAAACTGCCTGCTGGTGTAACTGGGTTGGCACATGGACAGTCTCTATACAAATTATACAAATGCCTTTTGATCTTGGAGGAAAAATTATATTGAAAAAACCAGCAATTTCTGCAAAGACATATGTAATAAAAGAAAGGTCAAAAACCAGTTTTCAACTGCTACTGTTAGTATCTTCTAACCATAAAATGCAATGAGGTCTAACTATCCAACTGTTCCTTATGGAATATGACAGAACAGTCCCAAGATTATGTCACATTTTAAGTAAGAAGTTATGAAATCCAATGATTATTTGTCCCCACTTTATTTCTGTAAATAAAATTAACCTCATTAAAAGCACATTTAATACTCAAAGGGCTCATAACCAGGTGTAGTATTTGGAAAACCATGCTCAACTGCTGGTTAAACTTCTTCACTGGGCTTCAACACCTCAGCCTAGAAGAATAGAGAGTAAATCTGTCCCAATACACACAAACCAATCCCACTCATCTCATCAGAATTTGTTTAGTTAGCCAGAACAGATAT